TTTAGTTTTGGGTTTTTTGTCTTATCTTGGTCGGTTTAATCAGTTATTTGAGTTTTTAATCTCACTGATTTCCTTCTGATTTATGAGAAATCTGATGTTGCCACGTTTGTTTTAACACCTCATGATTCAGTGACTAAAGGGCAACTTTTCTAGTTGTTTAACCAACAAAAAACTTTTTTTTTTACCTTTTTTATATAACTGACTCAGGATCCATCAATCAGCAGATGAGCTGGAAACACTGATAATTAACTGCTTTTGTGCCTGTTTTCGGTTTTGATGGCTTAATTTTTACCGTTTTGCACCATAAATTTGCAGGTTAGATTCCCGTTTGGGCGGACTCAGGTGAGCCGCACCTGCGTCCGCTGGTTTGTGTGAGTTTTGCAGAATCAAGTGCAGAACTTTCAGTTTTTATTCCTATAATCAGGAGGTGCTACATGAGCATCCTGTCACTTCAGCTCTGATCCTCCATCTGCGATCTGACTCACACACATACACACACACACACACACACACACACACACACACACACACACACATACACTCGCACACACACGCACACGCACACACACACACTCGCGCACGCTCGCGCACACACACACACACACAAACACTCACACACACACACACACAGACACAAACACACACACATACACACGCACACACACACACACACACACTCACGCACACACACACACACACACACACACACACACGCCCGTGCACACACACACACACACACACACGCCCGCGCACACACACACACACACACACACACACACACACACACACACACACACACACACACACACACACACACACACACACACACAAAGCCATGATTTGAAATGTCAACATTCAGAAACCTGTCAGCCTCCAAGCGCAGTCAAGCCGTCCAGAGTCTGTTTTTATCAGCTGCTGTGGCGTTCAGGTGCGCCGTCGGTTCAGTCAGGTGGGGAATCAGTCAGAGCTGTGATGCTTCTGAAGTTAATTACATGCAACGCAAATTACATGTTTAAGCTGCATAATCTTTTTATGGAAACTGGAGCTGCTTTTGTCTCTGATGTCATGATTTTAGATGGAAAATGTCATCCTATCCCAAATGTAATGGAGAATAACATGAAAAAATAACAAATTTAGATTAGGACTGATTAATTGGTTATTTTAATAATCTTCAACTGATTTAGCAATCGATTAATCGTTAGCTTTTTAGATGAAAAACATGGTCATTTGCTGAAAGAACAACACATTCAGAGCAGTAATTAAGCCAAAGCTGTACAGAAAACATACACATTTATTTTTTGTACCGCAGTTTTAGCTTCACCTGGTTCAAATTCTTTAAAAGAAAATCCCACTAAGCACTTTTTATTATTTAATTATTAATAAATTAATCAAAAAATATGGTTGATAGTAATATCAACAACAGATGCTCCTTTGCTACAAATGACCAAGAGTTTACTAAAAAAAATGTTATGTTACAGTTTAGGCAATAAAATGTTTTGTTTTGTTTGTTTGTTTCAAAAAGGAGTTAAATTATTTATATATTTTTTTTTCCCAAAGGAAATACTAAAGGAAATCCATTATGCAAATTTTGACACATTTTTATTCCTCCATTTTGGATTTTTACTGCTTCTAAAAACAAAGTGCTTAAAAACGGTTTGTGGCAATATGTGAATGTTTTCTGATGTTTGAAAATGAGCCGTTTCAAAAACCTGATTGTTGAGTCACAGACCGTTGCCTGGCAACCAGAGCAGAACTCCAGCACGTTTGGTCAGTTTTACCAAACTGACACGTTTGACACGTTTCCAGCAGTTTTCCAACAAAACTGCTGGAAAAGACACAAGTTTTGTTGTTGGGTTTCCATCCAGAAACCACTGGCTGCTTTTCTGTTTCGTTGTGCAGCAGGCTTTACTTCTGCTTGTCAAAGATGTATGGTTGTGTAATTGCGCATTTGTTAGCAGCTATTTGGGGGTGTGGCTGGCAGCAGCTTATTTGGATTTAAAGTGACAGAGCTCATTCTGAAAATAGACTAGTCTCATTATCAAGGAATGATTTTATTCAAAAAATGTATTGAACATGATTTGTATAGGCCATAGACACATCCTAACGTGTTCAAGGAAGTATAATCGATCACTTTCAACGGTGGATTTGAGTTTGAATCTAATTTAATAGAGAAATTGGACATCTCTGCTGGAAAGTTTCCCTTTGGGGAACAAAAACCGCTAACGAAGAGACGAAGAGGTGCAAACAGGAAAGGAGAGGTGAGAACAGTTCAGATAAAGATGGAAGAAGTGAGACAGAGGGAGGAGAGAGAGAGAGGGAGGCGTTGTCTCAGGGAGAGAGAGAGGCAGCGCCAGCTCCATCCTGCCACCTCGCAGTCGACACTCGGACATGTTGGCGCCACAGAAGCTGAGACGTTTTCGGGACTGCAGGACCCAGAATCCACTGGGGCACCTGGCAGCCAGAAGTTCGCCCACCTGGGAGCTGCAGGTATGCAGATGAAGGGGATGCCGGGTTTATTTACCGGTTTGGTTGGTGAGTTCAGGATCCTCAGCAGGTGTTGGAGATTGTTCGGTGTTTCTGGATGCAGCAGGTTTCAGGCCGTCTCCATAACAACCAGGATTTCCTGCTGTTTGGATGACGATCAGGCGGGAAAAACATCTGATCGCTCCTGGATGTTTGTGCAGCTCAGGATGAAACCCAGGAGGGACGACGGCGCTCAGCGATGCTGGGAATCCTCCAGCGATGAAAACGAGTTTAGAAATCGATCAGTAATGGCTCAGCTGCTAAATCACCTTTTGTTGATCGGATGCAACCTGCTCTGATCTTGGTGTTTAAGTGTTGCATGCAGATTTCAACGCAGCGGAACCAGTCTAAGTGAAACTGGTCCGATTTTGTTTGTTTGGTCATGTGACAGTGACGCATTGTTGGATTGTGGGTAGTTTAACTGAAGTAGAGAAGCAACACAAACTGCGTTGTCATTTTTTACAGTGTCAAAATGTTACATATCTAATTAAGACCGAAACAATTAATCGTGATCAATCGACTATTTAAATGATCGATTAATTGCTCGCAGGCGACACTCGGAGCAAAACAAAAACATTTTCCAAATAATATATTCTGAACTGTATTAATTAAAACTACCAAAAATCTAATCATTTTGCATATAATATGGAACATATATTTTACTGGCAGGTGGAGAAAAAAAATCTTATTGATCACCTTTTGCAATCCAATTACTTATCTATTAATCAATCAATAATCCCCAGATCAGCCCTGCACTGTATTGATAATAATTTTAGTCATGAAAAGGTTTGAGATTTTTCACATGTTGATGCTGGAAGTGATTTATTTAGATTATTTAATACAAGTGATTAAAAGTTCACTAAATGAATACTGTCATTGGGTTTCAGATTATTACATTACTTTATGTGTATCTTTTAATTTATTTTAATAATATACCAGAAATGTACAAAAAAATCTACAGAATGTGCTAATTTTCTGAACTGACTAATCGTTAAAATAATCGATTAATCGTTAAAATAATGGATTCATTCTTAAAATAATCAATTAATCGTCAGAATAATCTCATATATGCTCCAATTTATAATATATAAAAGTATATTTACGATATATAACTATAATGTCGTAACTATAACAATATAGTTATGATATCAAATTGTTCTGAACGATAAATTGTGGCAGAAATTATTGCGATAAATGATAATATTGTTGTTTTGAGACAATATATTGATAATAGAGTAATAATTCTCCCTCTCAAATATCAATAAACTTTAATTTTGTAAAGAAAACATAACACTGCCACTGGAAGATGTTTTAAATATCCAAAATAAAACACAACAAAGAGCAGTAAATAAAAATTAAATAAAAGGTTACATAAAACCTAAATGGTAAATAAAAAGGATTATGATGTCTCTGTAAACAAAATTAATGTTGATTTTTCATGCAGTCAAATTTATACTAAATTTATAGTAAATATTTCTATATAATGACAGTAAATATTTTTGTTTTAGGTCTAAATTTTGAAATCGGTGCATCCGGCTGATGTTTTGTGTTTACAGTCAAATCGTTGCACATTAATTTTAATGTGAAGCACTCAGCAGGCAGGACGAGAAAAAGCTTAAAGGCATCGATGGAAATCCATCATCCTGAACTGGAAGCAACAGAATCCTCCTTTTGTTTACTTCAAAGTTTAACCTGGAAATAGAGAAGAAACGTGCAAAATAAGTTTAATGGTAAGAGTTCTGGTTCGGATGAGGAAATTCTGTTGGTTGAACAAATTCACATTTAATGTGAAAATAAACTTTATTATTGTGTAGATTGAGCTGATTTAAGCTGAATCAGATTAAAAATAAACACATCAGGATGACTTTGGTTGGAAAATAAGGAAATAATTTACATCACAGATAATTTATTCCAGCCAGGCGGAGCAGCAGCCAATAAAAGGATTTTACTCTAATTCAGTTTCCAGGCTTTGGGGGATTTACTTCACACCTTAATATTTTACCAAGGAGGCTGTAAAAATAGAGTTAGGGGAAGAAATAAATACTTAATACGCTAAAAATGGAAGAAAAATGGAAAAAAGAAGGAAAGAAGTGGAGGAGTTAGAGAAAGTTTGAATGAAGGAGAAAAGAAGGAAGAGATGCTTATTGAAGTAAAATGAAAACAAGATGTTTGAGATTAGAATATCATATCAGACCAATAAAAATGTTTTAATCCATAGATGTGGACATCTGGTCAAAGGTTTTTGTTTTCTAAATGTGCATTTATTCTACTTTACTGAATCGTAGAAAGGAGTGGGGGAGGAAATGATGAGAGATAGGAGGAAGTGAAGAAAGACAACAGAAAGGAAAATATGTCACAGTATTTTTAATCATTTTCCAGGAAAGGAAAAGTGTTTGTTGTGAAACTCTTCCTCCACATTCCGCTGAGTAAAACTAAAAATAAAGTTCAGCATGATGACGGTGGTGTTTGTGTTGCAGGATGATGTTCCCATCAAAGAGATCAGCATCACCCACCATGTGAAGGAGGGGTCGGAGAAGGCCGACGCGCGGCAGTTCGAGCTCCGGAAAGTTCTGGGTCAGGGTTCGTTTGGGAAGGTGAGTCGGTTCCGGTACCAGACGGCGGCAGAGTCCGGCTGTCGTGGTCTTCTGAATGAACTTGCCTCCCGTCTGCAGGTGTTTCTGGTGAGGAAGGTCACAGGACCGGATGCAGGTCAGCTCTACGCCATGAAGGTCCTGAAGAAAGCCACGCTGAAAGGTAAACACACCTGGCTGGCCGTGCCTCCTGAAAAATGAAAATCTGTTGTTTTGGTTTGGATTCAGTCCGACAGTCTTTGTCCTGCTGCTACCAAATCACAGAAACTACCTCAGTGTAGTTTTGTAAACAATAAAGAAAAAATGTGCCTCCACAGAAAATGGTGTAATAAGTCTGCCGGGCCAGTTGGTGGCGCCGTAGCACTGTAACAGAATGACAACAAGAACAGATCTGCAGCTTTGCCAGATTGGCCGTTAGAGATAGAAAAAAAGTTAATACAATTTTGAGATTAATCTTAAAAAATTTCTAGAAAAGAGAAAAAATGTCTGAGCTCTGAAAGTCACAAATTTCTATAAATGTATAAATAGCTGCAGACTCACAGTGAGCCTGTTTTATTGAAGCTAGTTTAGTTTCTCTCTGTGGAAACAACAGAATCGTGTTTCTTCTTCTGTGGATTCTCGGACGTCATCTCCCAAAATGGAATTTCACACTTTCTCATGAGACGGACGAAAAAAGCAGGAGGGAGAAATAAACCCCTGAAAGGAGGCTGATCTCCAACCAAACACCATCTGCTGCTGCTTCATCCTGATTCATCTTCGTCACCCTGTTTCCTCCTCCTCTTCCTCTCCGGAGCTCAGTCAAGCGGCGCTGCTGCGCCTTTAATATGGAGGTTTCTGTGTTTTCCAGTTCGCGACCGGGTCAGAACCAAGATGGAGAGGGACATCCTGGTGGAGGTCAACCACCCCTTCATCGTCAAGCTGCATTACGGTGAGTCGGCCAATCAGAGAGCTTCGTGACTCGCTGATCAGCCAATCAGAGAGCAGTTTGGATCTCATCTATGTCATCTGCAGCGTTTCAGACGGAGGGGAAACTTTACCTCATCCTGGACTTCCTGAGAGGAGGAGACCTGTTCACCCGCCTCTCCAAGGAGGTAAACGCTCCGCATGGCTTAAAACTAAGTACACCCAGCAGCTTCTAGAGCTAGTGTTTAAAACATGATCCACTGTTTAGCTTTTCTCCAGTTCATTAAGTTCTGCACAGCGCTCTCAAGGTCTGGACTTTGACTAGACCAGGGGTCTGAAACCATTTTCACACTTTGGTCGGCCAAATAAAGGTTGTTCAGAGCTGCAGAGTCTTATGAGTTTAGATGAACATCTATCGTAAATTTGTTGCCTTTTTATTTATATTTTTTTAATTTAAAATAGAAAAAAATAAATTTTACAATAAAAAAAAGAAATTAGTTTTTTTTCCTGCAGGACAGAGATTATGTAAACAATAGAAAAGCAAATTACTGGTAATTTTAGTGTAATTTTTTGTGGGAATTCAATCCAAATATTGTAGGAATAAGTTGGAAAAGTGATTAAAAACCTGAGTTGGTTCAATGTAAAAATTTTCCCGTCTTTATTTTTTTTGTTAAAATTATTAAAGGTGCAGTATTTTGTGTTTTCCAGGCCCATTGTCTCATTTTCTAGCACAACTATGTTAACTTTTAAATCAAATATGATCTAAAATAAATTTGACTTTGTTGTGTGCCGCCTTGAAATTGGGCCTCTATCTCTTTAAGAAGCTCTGCCTCCAAGTCATCCCAACATGGCTCCTCTATTAACCCTTTAACAGTTTCTGCTGTGAGCAGCAGCTGCTATAATGAGCTCAGTAGTTCCACCAGGTGCTAATTGCTGTTGGCTTGAGAGTGGGGGAGGAGCTGCTTCAGCTCGATGTTTTTCAGGTTTTCAATGTTTTGTCTGAGGAGAATGAAGTTTCTCCAGGATCTGACCTCTGATGTTTGAATCGTTTCTGCTGCAGGTCATGTTCACTGAGGAGGACGTAAAGTTCTACCTGGCAGAGCTCGCGCTGGCCCTCGACCACCTTCACGGCCTCGGCATCATTTACAGAGACCTGAAGCCTGAAAAGTGAGTACACACACACACACGCACGCACACACACACACACACACACACACACACACACACGCACGCACGCACACACACACACACACACACACACACACACACACACACACACACACACACAATTTCAGTTCATTGTGTAATTCTGGTTTCATAACCCTGATACGTTAAAGCGCCTCTGTGTTTCCAGCATCCTGCTGGACGAGGCCGGACACATCAAGCTGACAGGTCGGTGCTTCTCTTCTCGCTCCACGCTGTTCCCCTGCTGCTCATTTCAACCGATCCTCCGCTGACGTTTCCTCTCGTCCTCAGACTTCGGCCTGAGCAAAGAGTCGATAGACCACGAGAACAAGGCCTACTCCTTCTGCGGGACGGTGGAGTACATGGCGCCCGAGGTGGTGAACCGGCGGGGACACACGCACAGCGCCGACTGGTGGTCGTACGGCGTACTCATGGTGAGGCCAGGCGGCGAAACGGAGAAATGAGAGAGTAAAACTGTTGGACATCCAGTTCAGATCTGAGTCTGTTTAGATTTAGCTAAAAAACTGACTAAGTTTGAGTCAGTTTGATAGCTTTTAAACTCCAATCTAAATGGTTGTTATTAATTTGCAGTCATTGCATAAAAGAAATCACAACAGATTCGACACCAACAGTTTATATTAAACCACATTAAACAATCTGGAAAGGATTATAATGGATTTCTAAGCAATTAGAAGTTCATAACAGAGAGAAATGTTATCTATAAGAGGAAAACATTTCAGACAGAAGCTCCATTTCCCAGCCAGCAGGTCAAAGGTTAAAGTCAAATTGGGGATCAAGGGTTATACTCTTTCGAGGGAAGACATACTGCAAGTTTAGTTGAAGTTAGCAGTTTAGCATTAGCTTCCTCTAATCTGCAATGTTCACTCGATGTTCATCTACAGGGATGTAGAAATGAAGTGTGATGATAAAACACAGAGAACTGTTGTATTTTTAGCTTTGCTCTCCTCTAAACCTTGAACTGAAGCAGAAGAATCTCATAACGACTCAAACAGCAACTTCCTGTCGGATATTCCTTGCTGCTTTTCCTCACTGTTAAAGAAAGTGTAGGAGCCTTGAAGCCATTTTTAGTGGAAGAAGTGGGAGGATAACGAGTTTATCAGAGTTTCTAAACGCTGTGAAATGCATCAGATCTCTGACCAGGCTGCTGCTTTTGTTCTTTTTCAGTTTGAGATGCTAACGGGAACGCTGCCGTTCCAAGGCAAAGACCGGAAGGAGACGATGACAATGATCCTCAAGTAAGACACTTTATCCAGCCGCCGCGCTCTGATCTCATCGGCTTTAATTTCAGCGCAGAGATGGGGAGCAGGGCCAGGACTGGAGCGTTCTGACAGCAAAGCTTGAAAAGTGGAAGTGAAAGAGCGAATGTGATCATGTGGAGCGTGTGAGAACGTCTTCAGAGAGGAAGCGTTAACCTCCGCTGCTTCCTCCAGCTCCCTTTCACTGTAGTGTGCAGGAAAACGCTGAGGCAGCGCTGCAGACCGCTGACGCTGCTTCCTGTGCAGCAGATTATCATCGCGCTCCTCTCTGGATACACGAGTGTTCAGTTCTGTGGCTCATGCTGCTCTGTTTGTCCTGCTTCTGTTTCCTCTGCAGAGCCAAGCTGGGAATGCCGCAGTTCCTCAGCTCAGAAGCTCAGAGTCTCCTCAGGAACCTGTTCAAACGCAACCCAACCAACAGACTGGGTGAGATGCTCAAGCATTCAGCATGCTGAGGGGAGCAGAACGTCAGCTGCATACCTGCAGCTTTATGGTTTAAACAGGGATTTAACAGCATCTGCTGACCAACCTACCGGACCTTTAACCTGAGGTAGCGGTAGAGGTTAAAGGTCATGACGGGACACTGTTTGGATGGGTGGAAGGAGGAAGTTTGGTTTGCAGAATGGAGATTTGGGAACATGGTCCTTGAGGAGCTGGTCGGCACGGTGGTGGAGGTGTGGTGATATGGGACTGTTCTGACCCCACAGGGCCGGGTCACCTTCAGGTCATTCAGTTGGACCTGAACTTTGACCCCAGACCAGCTGCAGCTCAAAACAGCAAAGAATGATCATGTGATCCAAGGAAACGAAGTTAATGTGATATTTAGAAAATACATTTGCTTCACAGAAAGATGGCAAATTAAAACAGTCGGATGATGGTTTTATTGATTTACACCTGGAACAAACTTATTTATATGTTTTAGTCACATTTCTTATTTAGTGGAAATATTTGGGTTTTTTTATTTCGAGAAAGTTTTTCACACATTGTGATGGAGATGCAGCTTATGATGCGTGGCATTGCTATGGAAACTGAGGTTTGTTTGCTTTCAGGCGCCGGCCCGGACGGCGTGGAGGAAATCAAGAGGCATTCGTTCTTCAGCCGGATCGACTGGAACGTCAGTTTCTGCAGAAACAAAAGATCTGGTTTTTGTTTCTGTTCTTTCGCTGAGGTTTCTGTTTCTCCTTCCCGTAGAAACTTTTCCGCAGAGAAATTTCTCCTCCGTTCAAACCGGCCGTCGGTCGACCTGACGACACTTTCTACTTCGATCCGGAGTTCACGGCGAAAACGCCCAGAGGTACGCTCTCGCTCGCCTTCCCCTCTGCTCCGTCGTTCCCACGCTAACAGTTTGTCTCCTCAGACTCGCCGGGCGTCCCGCCCAGCGCCAACGCCCATCAGCTCTTCAGAGGCTTCAGCTTCGTGGCCATAACGGAGGAAGAGCCGACGCCGATGCCTAATACCATCGTACAGGTGAGCAAACACGCTCTGCCGCTCCGAGGTAATCAGATCATCTGGGTCAAACCTCAGCGGACAAATGCAGAGATTAAAGCTGGAAGAAAAGATGAAAGTCGAGGCAAAAACAGTCAGAATGTTTCTGCTTTTATAGATGAATGCAGCAGATTTAATCATTCTGGGTAGAAAATGTTCAGCTGAACACGACTGAGCAGAACTGAGCTCCCTTTATTCCTGCAGCTGCATTCAGACACAAGAAAAAGCGCTTAAAGAACATCAAAGGAGGAACAAAGGATAAAAGCTAAAGATGTTAAAGGCAAAACAAATATTTAACAGTTCATCAAAAGCTGCTCAGTTAACAGGGGTGAGAATTTATCGTTCCGTTTATTGTTAATGTAGAATTAACAATAAATCACTTTCTTATTGTGATAAGAAAGTGGAAAATAAATTATGATTAATTATGTCTGAAAATTAAATTATTTTACAATTTTCTTCACAAGAGCATCAATCAATATGAAACATCATAAAACTCAGTTACTGCCTGCCATTTAGAAACATGACGCGCTGTGACGTTGATCACTGTACACATTTATCATTAATCACATTGTTCATCTTTTACCGTGAGAAATTTCTTATCTAATGAGAATTTTTATTCATTGTCATGATAAATTCCAGTGATGACATTTAAAACCTGCTAAGTTGTATTATTTTATCCACTGTTTGTTCAAACACAGCGTCAATGAATTCAGATAAATTTATGTGCAGCTTAGTGACACAAATCACGCTTCTTCATGTGACTGGTGTCATGAAAGGGAATGTTTTTCAGGGTTATTTGTGTTTGTGGGGCTATAATTGCTGTGACACACAGTTACAGTCACATAGTTACCTAAAAAACATGTAATAAATAGTTGCTGTTGTCACTTTTGTTATTATCACAAGGATACCACAAAGTATAAACTTTAATAGCGAATCGTTTAGTGCTTCTGTATGCAGATGATGCTCGTGTTTGTACTTGTCTATTTCAGTTGACAGTGAAAAGATGTAAGTAATTCCTGTGGGAACTTTCACAGATTGTCTTGGTGAAAGTAACATGCAATCTAATCTTCCTCCCGTCTGAAACTTGGACTGAACTTGTTCATTTGGTGGTTTTCTCGCAGCAGCTTCACAGAAGCACGTCCCAGTATTCGGATACCTACGAGATCAAAGAGGACATCGGCGTCGGCTCCTACTCCATCTGCAAGCGCTGCATCAACAAAGTCACCGGCATGGAGTACGCCGTGAAGGTAACGCCGCCGATGTCAACATTCCTGCTGCCAGACCTTCGTTTAGGTGGAAACCGGTCCAGAAGGAAAACAGTGTTTCTTGTTTGTTCTAGTTTTTTGGTGGAACCAGGTCTTATTTCTACAAATTTAACTTGAAATTAAAGAACTGATTTTGTTCCAGATCATCAACAAGGGCAAGAAGGATCCAACAGAGGAAGTGGAAATCCTGCTGAGATACGGACAGCATCCGAACATCATCACCCTGAAGGATGTGAGTCGGATGGATGATGGATGGATGGATGGATGGATGGATGGATGGATGGATGGATGGATGGATGGATGGATGGATGGATGGATGGATGGATGGATGGATGGATGGATGGATGGATGGATGGATGGATGGATGGATGGATGGATGGATGGATGGATGGATGGATGGATGGATGGATGGATGGATGGATGGATGGATGGATGGATGGATGGATGGATGGATGGATGGATGGATGGATGGATGGATGGATGGATGGATGGATGGATGGATGGATGGATGGATGGATGGATGGATGGATGGATGGATGGATGGATGGATGGATGGATGGATGGATGGATGGATGGATGGATGGATGGATGGATGATGGATGGATGGATGGATGGATGGATGGGATGGATGGATGGATGGATGGATGGATGGATGGATGGATGGATGGATGGATGGATGGATGGATGGATGGATGGATGGATGGATGGATGGATGGATGGATGGATGGATGGATGGATGGATGGATGGATGGATGGATGGATGGATGGATGGATGGATGGATGGATGGATGGATGGATGGATGGATGGATGGATGGATGGATGGGTGGGTGGGTGGGTGGGTGGGTGGGTGGGTGGGTGGGTGGGTGGGTGGGTGGGGTGGGTGGGTGGGTGGGTGGGTGGGTTGGTTGAATGTTTTGTTGGTTGGTTGGATGTTTTGTTGGATGTAGCCTCCATCTTGTTTTTTTGCCCTGACCTCAGAAAATTTCCAAACTGAATCGTTTCTCCATCAAGTTGTTTTGGCTCTGAATGTTTTCGCCTCCTTTCCCAAATGAATCCATTTTGTTTTTATCTTGTAAATCTAAAGTTCCATCTGATTCTCCTAAATCATCTGCTGGCTTTATCTGCGACTCCAGGGGTCACCGCGGGGTCACCGAATCTGAACAACAACTTCGTGCTGTGATTTAGCTCTGACTCAGCTGTAATAATCCGCCTTCTCTCCAGGATTTAATTTCCCTCCGAAGTTTTAGATCCGTTTCTCTCCTGGATGTTTTTAGAGGCCGATGGTTTCGATGATTCAGCGGCTGACGTTGCGGGGGCGGTTTGTTTTTTCCTGCTGTAGGTGTATGACGACGGTCGCTCGGTGTTCCTGGTGACGGAGCTGATGAAGGGAGGAGAGCTGCTGGATAAGATCTTGCGGCAGAAGTTCTTCTCCGAGCGGGAAGCCAGCGCCGTGCTCTACACCATCACCAAGACCGTGGAGTATCTGCACGTCAACGGGGTAAACGCCTCCGAAGTCCGCTTTAGATCCAGGAAACCTGAAAATAATCTCTTAGAAAACTGATTATTTTCAGCTTCACAACTGATTTACATTTCTAAAAATATTCAAATTAACCTGAAAGTATTATTTTATCTTAAAGAACATCAATTACAAATATAAATTATGAAACTTTTAAATGCTAGTATTCTTGCTAGCTGCATAAAAAAATAATTTTAAATATTTTTATGCTTTCACACAGGATGGACATTAATATACAGTTTGAAATTTTATTTAAAAAATCTGAAAAGTGTGGCATGCATCTGCATTCCATCCTCCATCTTTAAATTTGTTATAATATTGTATAAAAAAGCCTTAAATAAAAAATCTGCGGAATGTGCCAGAATTTTAAATCGATTAATCGTTAGAATAACCGATTAATCGAGAACTAAATCATTAGTTGCAGTTCCAGTCTGGACCTGCGATCCGAGGCGACCAACCAGGTGTTTCCTCATTCTGCAGGTGGTGCACAGAGACCTGAAGCCCAGCAACATCCTGTACGTTGACGAGAGCGGCAACGCAGAGTCCATCCGGATCTGCGACTTCGGTTTCGCCAAACAGCTGAGAGCCGAGAACGGCCTGCTCATGACCCCGTGCTACACCGCCAACTTCGTTGCTCCAGAGGTCTGAGTCACTTTGCTTTACGGTTTTATTAGATTTTCTTTCAAGCGTTAAAATAATGTCTGTTTGTGTCCAGTTTATTGGTTTGTAATGTAGCAGAGAGAAAATAGGAGTGAAAAACATCTGAAAGTTGTTTATGTCGTTCAGGTGTTGAAGAAGCAGGGATATGACGCAGCATGTGACATCTGGAGTCTGGGCGTTCTGCTCTACACGATGCTAACAGGGTAGCTTTAGCTTCTCTCCCAACAAACCTTTATATACTTGCAGTTTTATTGAACATAAATATGCAGGTTCATTGTATGTTTTGTATGTTTTTCTCCAGTTTTACTCCTTTTGCTAATGGTCCAGAAGACACCAGAGGAGATTCTGGCACGGATCGGCAGTGGGAAGTTCTCCCTCACTGGAGGATACTGGAACTCTGTCTCTGCTGAAGCAAAGGTCTGAACTCACAGGAGCAAAGGCTGGAGAAAGAAATAAATACTAATCAGGGTTTAGTTAAAGGCGGTTTGTTCTGTCTGGTAGGATCTGGTGTCTAAGATGCTGCATGTAGATCCTCATCAGCGACTGACTGCGGCTCAAGTCCTCAGACATCCCTGGGTGATGCACAGAGACCAGCTGCCCAAATACACCCTGAACAGACAGGATGCACCACATCTGGTCAAGGTAAAGGTCCATCCATCCATTGACCAATCCATCCATCCATTGACCAATCCATCCATCCATTGACCAATCCATCCATCCATTGACCAATCCATCCATCCATTGACCAATCCATCCATCCACTGACCAATCCATCCATCCATTGACCAATCCATCCATCCATTGACCAATCAATCCATCCATTGACCAATCCATCCATCCATTGACCAATCCATCCATCCATTGACCAATCCATCCATCCATTGACCAATCAGTTCATCCATTGACCAATCAATCCATCCATTGACCAATCCATCCATCCATTGACCAATCCATCCATCCATTGACCAATCAATCCATCCATTGACCAATCATCCATTGACCAATCCATCCATCCATTGACCAATCCATCCATCCATTGACCAATCCATCCATCCATTGACCAATCAATCCATCCATTGACCAATCCATCCATCCATTGACCAATCCATCCATCCACTGACCAATCCATCCATCCATTGACCAATCAATCCATCCATTGACCAATCCATCCATCCATCCATTGACCAATCCATCCATCCATTGACCAATCAATCCATCCATTGACCAATCCATCCATCCATTGACCAATCCATCCATCCATTGACCAATCCATCCATCGACCAATCCATCCATCCATTGACCAATCCATCCATCCATTGACCAATCCATCCATCCATTGACCAATCCATCCATCCACTGACCAATCAATCCATCCATTGACCAATCAATCCATCCATTGACCAATCAATCCATTCATTGACCAATCAGTTCACTGACCAGATTATCCATTTCTGTAATGTTTTCATATTTTCAGATAATTTTCCTCATGGATATAACAATCCTTTCTGACAGAAACCCTGAAAACTTGTTTTGGTGTTTAAGGGAAACCTGCCCTGCATCATCACATCAGGAGATTTAATGTGCTTGAGATTGAGAGGATGTTGAGTAAATTTCTCAGTCTGTGTGACTTCCTGTCCCGCAGGGCGCCATGGCCGCCACCTACTCGGCCCTGAACCGGAACGTTCCTCCGGTCCTGGAGCCAGTGGGCTGCTCCACTCTGGCACAGCGGAGGGGGGTGAAGAAAATCACCTCCACCGCTCTTTGACTTCCTCCTCCTCCTCTTCTTCCTGTCAACTCTGACCTCGATCTGATCGCCGCCGGACCCTCCTACGGTCCGGTCCGGTCCAATTGGACAGACTACTGATGAACCTGAGAGCCGCTTACGCCAAATAGAAGCACAGCCTGTCTCCGCCCCGCCCTGCACCTTACTGGGTTCTCCTGACTCTCAGCTTTAGCATCACCAATCAGCACAAACACAAACCCGAGGGCCCGTGGGCCCGGCCTCTGCTACGGACAATCAGCGCTTCCTGTCCACTCCGATTCTACGTCAGAAAAACAAAAGTATTTATTAACGTCTGACGGGAAATCATAGGAACAAAGCAACGTAAGGTAAGGTAGGCGTTCTAAAGAGCTAGGATCATTGTTATCTGGGTAGTTGTATATTCTGCATTTAAACCTCAAGTAGCCTCTGAGACGACTGAAGTCCAGATCAGCTCAGGAAGCAGCCGCCTGGGACTGTCGCTGTTCGCCTTTTAAAAGGGAAACCAACATTTCACTGGAGCCACAAGTTTTAAAATCCATCCTGTTGGGAAAACTTTTTCTTTTTCCACTTTTTCATCGTTCAGGAACAAAACAGCAAAATGTTTCAAACATTCACCATCAAAACCTTTTGTTTCTGCCAACATTTATCCAAAAAACAACATGGAAAATACTCTGGAATCAAACTGAACTGAAATCTGCAAAAAGAGTTTTATGGCATTCTGCTGCCCCCTAGTGACCACAACAGGTATAACAAGCCATGTTCACCTATTTTGTCTAATTTATCTTTTTATTTTTGGAATATGATAAACTTATATTTGACACCAAATATCATAAACATTTTTGGTTGCTGTCTAATCTGGTCAGCAACAGATTTATGCAGATTAGGGAGCAACTAAATCTGTGGTGCTCAGTTTTTCTCATTTAGCTTTTGGAAATAAAATTAATTTAAAATTTCAGTTATGTTCAAAACAAAATTCAATATATGGGAAATTACCTTTTATGTCCTACCAGTCAAAAAAGTAACAATTTATAAAATAATTTTTAATCCAGATTAAATGTTTGGTTTTGTCCCAATAAGTTGCTATTTTTACCTCAACACTAAAAAGAAAATCACACATAAAATAAAAAATACACTTGCAGGTATGTTTGTGATGACATTTAATAGTAGAATAGATGATGTTTATGTAAATGTATTTAAAAATAGAGATATCTCCTGATGCGTTTCCTGTGTGACTCGGATGAAGCAGTGATGTCATCTGGTGCCGTTTAGAGCGCCACCGCTTGGCCACACTTCACACCGCAAACATTGTTTAGAGTCTCAATTAGTATTTTGATTCAATTATACTTTTTATAAAGTTTATTTTAAGTTTGGTGAACTTCTTAGAGTTTTTAACCTCAGAAAGTTTATTTTAACTGTCATGATGCCACACACCTTTTCTCTCTACCTGAATTACTTTCATGCCCGCAGTTTCATCTCTACAAATAAAACTTATACATCAGAACGTTGGTATTTCTGTCCTCTCGACCCGGTGTGTCTGTCAGAGTTCACAATTGATCCCATTGTAATTTCTATCAAAATTAGCATTGAAGAGTCTCTATTAGCCGCCATATTGTAAAACACTGTGGATATATAAAGTTTTTCTTATGTGGCTTCAGGAACGTTATGCTTCACACGGTTAAAGAATTATTAATTATAACTTACAGTTTTCACACAGTTCGTTTGCGGCTGAAACTCCTGGTTATGTTTCTGGAAAAGGCGGGAATCACCTTGGCAACTTGTTCTTACCAGTTATTGTTTTTCCATGATGGAAAGTAAAAGCATTTATCAGGAGGAAATCTGAGCACCACTGATTTAAATCCCCTCCCAGATTTTCACAGGAATAATTCAGGAACCGTTTCAGGATCTAAAAGCGGCTTGAAGTGTTTCCCGTCCGCCATCTTTAGATGGTCCAGAGCCGCCTGCTTCCTCGCAGCGCCGCCTGAAGCTGCATCTCTGCCTCTCAGTACGAGCCGTCGGTGCAACAGCACTGTAAATATGAACGTGTGACTCAGGTTTCTACGAATCAAGACGATGCATTTTTGTAGGAGGAAAACACAAGAACACGAGCGAACAGGCCAACAAAACGCTCCTATTGTCAGACGTCTGAGTTAAAGCGGGAACATTTTACACGTCCAGTTTGTCTTTCCAGATTTTTGTTTTTCTCTCAAAGTCTTAAAAACGTGACCTCTGGAGGTTTTGATTAGAAATCAAGCTCTTCCGTTGTTGGTGTTGCGTTCCTGTGATCTGTGTTCAGCATTTATGCCTGATGATTATATGTTGATCGTGATTCTCTGGTAGCAAACCCTCTAAAAACTGAGCAGAAAAACATTACAGACATTCCAGCAGTTGGCTTCACCTGGGAGGACAAACTGTTAACCCATGCTAACGGTTAGCACCATGCTAACAATTGGCATCATGCTTGTTCTGTAGATTGAACAGAAAACTAATCTTTCCAGAAAATAAATCCGTCTGAACCGAAGCTGAATTACACTCCTCGAGCTCAGCCACCAGGGGGCGCTGTATTTATTTAAATTCTTTGACCAAACTATTGGTCAAAGAATTAGTCATCAGTGAAATTAATCCTTGCTTCTGGTGCAAAATGGTGGAGGACAAATGAAAGTGAAAAGTCAGAAACTGTAAACTGGACGACCTCGGAGGCCCATTTTCACCGAAATAAAAATATTAAACACGTCACATAAACGTCTAAATCATAAACGAGTCTTTCTCTGGGTAAATCAAATGTGAAAAAATTTAAACAAATGTTTCCTCACAGAAGTCAAGCTTGAAATAACATTTAACGTAAATATTTCAAATCAAATAATTTTATTTGTATAGCACGTTGCAGCAACAAGGTTTAAAGTGCTTTACATGATAAATATTTATCATAAATGTAATCTTTTTAAATTGTCTTTTCTCTTTTCTTCAGTAATGACTCTTAAGTCCACATTTAGACTCTGAAGATACTTTGTGATCTTTATTTGTTTTAACTGGTGAAATCGGGCCTCCACTGACGTCTGCGACTGAATTTTTAAAAGCAAAAATAAATTTCTTCACAGCAGGAATCCCACTTCTGTATCATGGAACATTAAAAACTTTCTGTGATCGTTTGAATGTCATCGTAAAGGGATAAACTTCAGAGTTTCTTTATGTTTATAAATAACTATTGATTTTTTTGAATTTTGTTCATTCTTCTGTCAGTGTACAGCTTTGGGATAAAGAGAGATAAATAAAATGACCTTTTCTGTAGTTATAAACAGAGAAATAGCTTTTTCTTATCTCACTCTTCCTTTTTCGTCTTATTCTGTCAGAGATGTTTTCACCCTGCTGCTACGCCAGCTCTCTGTTTTGTACCTGCAGAGTTGGACTTTCTATAAAAAACAATAAAAACAATAATCGATAAAATGCCTTCGCTTTTTATTGAGTTCCAGAAACAATTAATTTATGTTCTATTTTGCTTTTTTTTCACTGGTTAAAAATTTTGAAAAATAACTTTTATAAAACCAATTTGATCATAAATGTTTTTAAGTTAAATATTGCTTATAAATGGGTTAACTGTTTCTGTAGGGGTTGACGTATTAGTCATGATCAGTTATCATCTTACCTGAAATCACCAGATATTTTTCAGTTGGAAAATCCAGACTTTTAAAGGAGAAGTCGAACAAACTTTAAGCTTTTACTTTTCCTTTAGCTGTAAGTATTGGCAGTTAGCTCCAGAAGCTGTTGGTAGCAATTTATTTCCTGGTTCAAAAGCATTTAGCTTGTAGTTAGAAGTGAAATTGATTCTTCCAAGTCCTTTCTATTTATCTTTTTTTTTTATTTATAGTTGGATATATTTGGTGAATTATTTTGAAGTTGGTGACCAAGTACTTGTCCAAGTCCAAATCAATGAGCTGTTAATTCATACAGTTTTTAATATAAACTGAAAATGAGTGATAATTGGTTATCTGAGAGTTTTGTTATCACATATTTTATCCAAAATATCAATGCAATTATTTAATTTATTTTTCTTTTGTGTATTTATTCTATTTTTTGTAACACCTTTATAAAAATCAATTGGGAATCATATAAAAAACTATTTTCTCTTGACTAAACATTCCCAGAAATAACCTTTTTCATACATAAGTTACAAAAATATTGGTGTCTTGAAACAATTTCTCATAAAATATTGTTTTATAGGTAACATATTTGTTATTCCAAATTAAGAATTTATGCTGAAAATTATTCTTTGTAAATCAGATGATAAAGCTTATGTGGAAATTAAAGAAGCTGGATGGAAACTTTGTTGACATCAAATATCTTTTAAAAAAACGGCATTATCTTCTTTAAATATAGTTTGGTATTAAATACAGTAATCTATGTTTGTCCCTGTTTTAACTCCGTGATTCTTTTTCCAGTTGTGATAAATCTGCACTCCCAACATGGCGGCTTGGCTCTCGTATTTACCGTCCAAACTGAGCTGCGTCACGGTTTTCAATAAAGCCCTGCAGTTCTGAACGCGCTGTCCTGCGCTTGCGCACACAGACACAGAGACTCGGCGGCTAAGCAGCCAGCTTCTGGCTCCGTTCAGTTCAGTTTAAATATGATCTGTCTGACGTTTGTAAACATCTACCAGCCGCCGGTTGTACCGAGGAGGAGTTGAAGCGAACCTGGTGTAAAGGATATGCCAAAAATAAAGGTAAAAGGCCGAAAAATGGAGGCATTTACTGCTCTGCGGTAGTTTTTTAGCCCGCCGTGTGGAAAACGTGACCCGGCCGGCTAACTCCGTTAGCAGCAGGCAACGGGGTGCCCTATTGGTTATCCACAGGGTTCGAGTTTAAAATGAACTCTGAATATTCACATTAATGAAGTTAATTAAAGTCTTTTGAAGCTGTTTGAGCTTTAGAGACGGTTAGCTCGTAGCTAGCTAGCTGACACAGCTAAGCTTCACCCGGACTGGCCTTCTGACATCTGTTCACTAATTTATCTAAATTGACCTAATAACACACTTCTGATTGAACACAGACTGTTAACATAATGTAGAGGTTTTATTTGAGCTTCCCATTGAGTTTCATGTTAGCTAATCAGCTCGACAGAATAATTATCTGCTGATTAAAGTTACAGAAGCAAATTTAAGCTCCAACTTCTGTGTTTTTAATAAGTTTAAAGGCAAAAACTTTAAACAACCAGGAATGACTACATATCTTTATTTTACTTCTGTAGAGTCAAAGTTTACTTTAAAGTTGGTTTTATCAATAGTTCTCTAGACTTTCTGAAATCTGTTTATTGTAGTTACTTTTCAAATTCAATATAAAAAAAAATTGACCTGAAAAATAAATAAAATGTTGTAACTCATGTTTTCAGAGATTCATAGAGTTGTTATAGATGCTGTGGAAATGAGAATCTCCTGTAGCAGGCTGTGTTACAGCGGCTTTGGTTAAGCCTCTGTCTGAAGACGTGATGTCATTGTAAAACAGTCCCATGAAGCTCAGGGTTCATCGTTTGTAATGATCTGTTTTGTATAATGAGTTTTAATTACACAGAGCTTCAGATGGCGTATTTTAATTGGTTAAATGTTTTCTTCTAAAATAATGGACAAAAAGACAAAATATGTACTTACATGATGATAGATGGAAACTATTATCCAGATTCTGTTTATATCAGAATAATTCTGAAAAAAAGTATATTGAAAAATGTTTGACATGTTTACAGACTTTATTTCTTACTTTAAATGTAAAATCAGTATTTAGATTTAAACAGGGTCCTTTTATCTTCCTCACATAACCTGTGTGCCTGTTTTATTATACTGTTTTATTATTAATCCACAGATAAATATTCACAATAAAAGGGCCAAATTGAGCTGCTTTTGGCCCTCTGGGCCTTCCATACATTAGAGATTTAACTCAAAGCAGCTGTTTTATTTTTACATCAGAGTAGGATTTGTTTTCCTGTGTGAATCATCGTTTCTAGAACCCAATCTCTGATAACTGGAGCTCTAAAGGTGAAAGGTCAGGATAGCGTCAGAGATGGAAACGTCTGAGACGTTCTGGACTCCTTGTCTGAAGAAGTTTATTAAATCCCATAATAAACAGACATGAATAAGTCAGAGCTTAATGAACAGGTTTCAACACGTTTTCCTGCAGGTTGTGTCATTTGCATTAATCCCGTTTCATCCCAGTCAGATTCATTTAATCTGTGAAGCATAAAGAGGCAAAAACAACCAACAAAATACTGACTTTGTTTAACCAGTCAATAGTGAAGTTGTAATATTTAATTAAATGAGTAATGTTCTTTATTTTCTGGATGTACATTAGATCCAAACGTTAAAATAATTTTTACAGATTTACTTCAGTAAAACGAAGGTATGAGTTTCTAAAGCCTGACTGAAAATAATTAAACTTTTCTGGTAAATTGAACAACAAAAACAAGATTAAATCTTAATAACTAGTATCATGTTGGAGTCGTGGGCCACACAAAATCGTCCAGGGGCCACAAGTGGCCCCAGACCACAGTTTGTCCTCCAAAAAACAAACTGAACTTTCCCTTCATATTCTGTCATGGAGTTGAATTCAAAGTCCAAATAAATACAAGATGGAAAACAAGATGGCCGCCCTGACATCACTCCAAAAACATCCAGATTTTCCAGAAATTAAATCTTCAAAACCCCAAAATGTGATTAATCAATAAGTGGATTTATTTCCGTCCAGATTTAAAACCTTTTCCTTCTAAAGTTTTCAGTCGGTTTTGGTTTGAAATGTGGGAAAGTTAAAGTTTTAATGTTCAGGCGTTGACGTTTTCTCGCTCTGCCTGCAGGTAAAGGAGGAAAGAATCGGCGACGTGGAAAGAACGAGAATGAGTCTGAGAAGAGAGAGCTGGTGTTCAAGGAGGACGGACAGGGTGAGTTCTGCTGACCCAAACGGCCAGAACCAGAGATTTTAATAATTGATTGATTAATCACGATTAGCTGTTTCAGGCTTACTCCTCAAAGTCACTTTTTGTCTGAGAATGTGATGCACATCAATAAAGTCTTACAATCTGAAGACATTTTTTGAAATCATGTTTGTCACCTGGGCGGTTGCCCAGGGTGACATCAGAAAGGGGCGTGGCACCCAAAAACTAGAAACTAAATATTTATCTGTCAGCTGAACAAGTTTACTGCTACATCCGTTTAATCATTTCCAAATTATTACATTTCACTCCATGATAAATTGTCTCAGCAATTATTTTGAGAGGATATAATGAAGACAATATGGCTGAAAACCTCATCACAATATAATTGTTTCAGTATCAATACTTATTGATCAGTTTTGAACATGTGTCTGACTGCTGGGCTGATCTTTGCTGTTTCATCCACTTTTTACTCCATTTGGTTGTTTTTAAGTCGTTATGAAGTAAAACTTTAAACTGCCGGAGTTACTTAGCAGGTTGTTGCTAGGCAAGCAGAGTGCACCAGTTTAGGATCATATTGAATATTATCTACTGATATTACGTATCCATCACGTTTACTGTTGATTTATTGCTCAGTCCTGTTACAATGTGAGGCGGCGAAACGGAGCCGTTTCCTGTTTCCTGTAGCTTTAAGGCTCTGATGACTCGTCTCTTCCAGAATACGCTCAGGTGATCAAGATGCTGGGGAACGGCCGCCTGGAGGCCATGTGCTTCGACGGCACCAAGCGGCTCTGCCACATCAGAGGAAAGCTCCGGAAAAAGGTCGGAGAAACGCCGAGTCGGCACTGCGGCGGCCCGATTGTGTAGAGGTCACAGTGGTCGTGAGACCTCCTCTGACCTCGGCTGACCTCTTTGTTTCCGTCCTCCAGGTCTGGATAAACACGTCTGACATCATCCTGGTGGGCTGAGGGATTACCAGGTGAGCAACTGGGACCAGTTTGACTTCCTCCACTGACTGGGAATCATTCCACATTTTTTTATTGTAGCTTCTTTTAGAAAATAAATAAATAAAAATCATATCTAGTATAAAAATGTGAGATTTTCTGTTCCAGTAATCCTCCCGGATCAGAACCGTTTTGTGTTCTTTCCTCTAGGACAACAAAGCCGACGTGATCCTGAAGTACAACGCAGACGAGGCCCGGAGTCTGAAGGCTTACGGAGAACTTCCAGAACACGGTGAGTTTAAAGTGGGTCGCCAGTAGAACCCGTCCTGAACAGAACTGCTTCTCAGTGGTTCAGTAACCAGGATGTCCGAATGCTCTTAAAGGGCCGGTTGAGCCAGAATGTATTGAAAAAACCAATTAAACTGTTAAAATATTAATAAACAGTCTGTGTGTCTGCTGGAGTTCTGCTGGAGTTCTGCTGGTTTTAACTGAAACCAGAGGGAATAATTGTCCAAACGATTAATAGATTGATAAATAAACGCCGACCTGCAGCCAGACTGTAAAATATTCTGACTTGTTTTTTCTTCACAGCTAAAATCAACGAGACGGACACCTTCGGACCCGGAGAGACGACGACGAGATCCAGTTCGACGACATCGGCGACGATGATGAGGATATCGATGATGTAAGCTCAGCGTCTCAGAAAGTAGAATTTAGTTTTAAGAAGCGGTTTATTGTTCTGCTGCTGTTTATCATCTGAAGTTACACTGGTTTATCTTCCATTATTGATGATTGATTATTTTCATGTTGCAGATCTAAAACGCTGCGGCTGAAAGGAAGGCAGGATTTTACTACAGAAGCTCCGATTGATATGTTTTCAGCCGATTCTGCAAATAATCACCATTTTTTATTATTATTAATATTAAAGATGAACCTGTGACAGTCCAAACCCGGTTTATTAATGTTCTGTATGGTTACTCCATCGGTAGTTTTGGTTCTGGATGAAAGTGAGACGCTGCGGCGGGACGACGGAGCGTTTCCGTTTTTCTCCTCAAAACTGTTTCGTTTTGTTGACATTCTCTCTCCAAACACGCCATCTTTTTTTTTTATTATTAAAAAAGAAAATGTATTTATGATTAATTTCACAGCATGTGGGATTTAGAAACTGAACCGAATGTGTCGGTTTGCTGATAAAGTGCGGAGTCGGCGGAACCGGACGGGTTCTGGACTGAACCATGAAGGCGATCCCTCCTTAGTCTGTCGTTTCTTTTGTTTCGTCGGTTCGCTCTGCGGTGAAACCAGGTTCCCAGTGTTCCCAGTTCACTCAGAGCTCATCTTTCACACACCTCAGAGTCAGATTATATATGAGCTTATAGCAGATTATTTTTATTTCCTGTCTGCGCTTTGGGAGCCGCTGCTCTGTCCCACTTGGATGCAGATGTGCGATGATGTTTTGCCGGGTTTCCAATAAAGATCTTAACTCCTCAGCCGGTGTGGCAGTTTCTCACTTCCTGAGCCGGACTGATGGTGGCGCCACTGAACTGATTGTTTCCTCCCAATTTAAATATTTTTGCTTCAAATGTTTTATAATCCATGAATTACAAAATGTTGAATTTTCTGATAAACCAGCTGAACATTAATTATTTTACAATATAGAGAAAAAGGAAGAAAACTTTGAAAAGTCATAAAACAAAGATGTAATAAAGTGAAAAGACATGAATAAATTAAAGTTGTAATTAAAAGTCGTAGAGCAGAGAGAACGTAATGACGCAAAGAAAATCACAAAGCAGAAAAAAAGATAATGAAGTTATAAAAACACAAAGTTTACCAGAATAATGTAACTTCATGAGAAATTTATCAGTTTACAAACCAGAACTTTAAATTTATGGAAAAACTTTAGGTTGGTTTTGATCTGGTATAATCTGCTAATCTGGTCAGATTATAAATCCTAATTACGTTGAAAAAATAAAAACAGGAATCAAGATTTTTGACGTGTATTTTATTAAAAATAACTTTCCAGAGATGCTGGGAGAAGATTTAAACCCAAACAGGAGAACATAGAACTAGAAGAGCTAGAACATGAACTGAGCCGATGCTGATGAAACAGGAAGTGCTTCTTTTGACTTCCTGCTGACCTCCATGTTTACACGGAGTCGCTCTTCAGAACCTGATCACCAGTTTGGACCTGAAAACAAGAACCAGTTCAAATGTTTCCAGAATGTTATCAGAAACAAACCAATAATTAATCACTTCATCGATATTTTACCATAAAAAGTTATAATTATTGTTCTGATAAAACTCATTTTTAAATAAATGCAAACTTCACAACAAACAAAAATAGAAAAAACATGAAAAAAAAAACTTTTGTCCATTTAATGTAAAAAATAGATATTTTCTGAGCTTTTATCATATATTTCTAATTTATTATGAAGAAAATAAATTGTTTAATGTTTTTTACAACAGTCAGTAAATATCAGACTAAGCTGTAATAGGTGTCCTGCAGAAGCCTGATTAAAAATGTTCAGTGTTGAATAAATTTGTTTTCAGAAATTAATTTGTTTTTTTGTCTCTTATTGCATCACATTAAATACAACAAAGTAAAATGTCAACATTTTACTCAAAGAAATGGTTCTATAAACATTATGGGATTTGAATTGTGAATGTCTAAAAAAATATTTATATAAAGCAATTCATTAGATTAATACAGATTAATCTTCAACTAATTCAGTGATCAATTAACTGCAAAAAAATGTAATTTAGTAAAAAAACATCTCAGAGCTGTAATTAAGCCAAAAACTATGAAATAAATAAATATTTTGCTTTGAAGATAAAAAATGTGAATCTGTTTCAGCCAAAACTCTCGAGTGGCCATTTTATCTTCATATTCACTAAAGAAATGTTATGTTACTGCATTTTGGGAAATAAAATGTTTATCTTCTAGTTTTAAAAAGTAATTTAATTTGTTTATTTGCATCTTTTAAATGTCTTAAGTGGCTACATTGAAAATCTGCTGAATTAACCGAATTATATCACCTAATTAATCCATTAACTAAGGTTAATATTCTGTCCAGTTCTATTTATCGGACCGATGAGTTAAAAAGACGAACATCGGCCGATACCGATACGTTGATGCCGATAAATCGTGTTTTAAGGTGGACTGTGCGTTACCTGCCGGGTTGCTGTGCAGGTTCTGCCTCTGGTTTCCGAAGTGATTATTTCTGTGCTGCGTTCCCATGTTGGGTCGGTGAAACGTTCCCCTCCTGGGTCCCTGCAGCACAACACAACCATGTTGGCGGATTTCTACTTCCTGTGAGCAGCGGCTGACTTCCTGTGCGCCTCACCGTGCCGCCGTCTCTCCTGCGGTTCTGCTCCGTGGGCCAGAACCCGTCCGGGTCCATCGGCGGCGTCAGGTCCGGCTCGCTGAAACAAACGGCGTTAACCGGGTGTTTTCACCCTGGTTACAGTTTTCCAGTATGAACTGACCACTGGGAGCGCTGGGAGAAGCTGCTGCCCTCGATGGTGACCTTGACCGCCTCCAGCTTCTCCTGACGCCGCCGCTCCAGGTCGTGCCGGAGGTCGCCTGGACCTCGCTGCGGCTGCTTGCTCACTTCCTGTCAGCGGACGAACCGTATTTAGAGACCAGTAACCGTCACCAGTCCAACCAGTTTCACCAGCTTCATCCCCACCTGCATGGATCCCAGTCTGAAGAAGAGCGGCTCATCATCCTCATCGTCCAGAATAGAGTCCATGTTCAGACTGAAGCCTCTGGAACCAGAACTAAAACGTTACGCTGTTCCATCAGCAGCCAGTACAGATCTGAACTGGAAGTGAGCCGCCGCCATCTTGGTAGGCAAACGCAGCAAAGCACAGCTGAACCACATGGCTTCCAGATGGAAAAAACTAAATATGCTGATGCTAATGACCAATGTGGATGAGAAATGTACATCAACAAAATGGCCGCCGTGGGGATCGACCCAGGAAACGGATAATGCCTCCGTTCTCCTACGATGACATGAAGAATGTTGACATGCAGGAGCTTCACAGCCTGAAATCCTCCGACACGCAAACGTCGTTTTTGTAAATGTCATGTATTCTCAGTTCATAGGTCCTTCTTAAGGGACCTATGAACTCTAACTGGCAGAGGACTTGTATCTACACATAGGCTACATGTCTGTCTTAGCTAGCAGATAAAAGCTACATTAGCTAAGCTACGTTTGCTAACTCACAGAAAGCACTGCAGTAAATATCGCTGATGTTTCTCTTAGTATTACACAGAGTTGAGTAGAGTACTCATGTTGTAATGTACTTGGAGCTAGTGCTAATCTTCTGGGTTGTTTATTGTTGTCATAGTGACTGCCCACCAAGATGGCTGTCAGCTACAAAGTTCCTGGAAGTGTGATGTCACAGAGGTCACATGACCCGACCTGTTGGAGCTGAACCTCTGGTGCAGCGTCAGCTCCTCCAGCTCGTCGTCAGCGTAGCCTCCTTTCTGAGGCGCGGAGAAGCGTTCGGTGAGAGTGACCCCGTCACCCCGGAAGTACTGCTCTGTGGAGACAGGAAGTGACACGTTAGACTCAGAACAACATGGACTTCACTGTAAGAAATATGTTAAAAACATAATTAAATGTAATTTGATTCGATGAAAGCAAAACCAAGAGCTTGGTCTGTTTTTAGAAGCAGTAGAAACCAAAACAGAAGAACAAAAAGGTTCAAAAGGTTCATTTTCCATTGAAAAGCAGCTTTTCCCCTAAATATTCAGGTTTTCTGGTCCTATGAAGATTTTAATGCACATTAACCTTTGACAAAGTGCACCAGCGTGATGATCTCCTGTGCAAAAGTCCCGGAGTGCGCGGCGTTCTCCCGGTACGTCCCTGAATGCTCCAGCAGGGGCAGGAAGTCGAGGCGCTGGCGGCCCACGTTGACCAGGTCCAGAGACAGCTGGCGGTCTGAGGAGTAGCAGAGCGCGCTGCCGGACGAGACGTCAGCACAACAGTGAGCCACTTACTCTACTCATTTAGATTCAAACTACTGTCAGCCTTAAAGGGGCAGAATTAGGAGACTTCCAGGCACTTCAGTGATAAAAATATATCAAATATGACTTAAAAGAAATTTGTAATGCCTTTAAATCGGGAATCTGTCTCTTTAACACCTCCTGCTCTTCCTGAAGCTCCGCCTCCAGGAAGCTTTAACATTTTTAGCTGCTCTGAAAAGCAGCAGATGTTTGCTAATTGCTGTTGGCTAGTCTGAAGGAGTTTCATCCCAAAGGCGGAGCTCGGTCCACCCAGGTGTTCTGCAGGTGAGTGGTTGCCATGGAGATCAAACTATCTCTCAAGCATGCATTAAGGAATTAAAACAGAAATCCATGTTTGTTCTTGAAAGACATTACAGCAGGATGTAAAGCTCAAAAAAGTTGATTTTATTTATACTGCCAATTTGAAAATCCACTAAAAATACATTTTAACATCTAAAATGTCTGAAAAACCAAAAAGTTTGCTTTTCTCAACAAAAACTACAGCTAAATGCTAATTATGAGGAATATTAAACGGTAAACTGAGCAGAAAGACTTTTACCTTACCCAATAAACTCACCTTTCCTCTCATGACTTCCACATGTAACTTTAGTCTCATGAGTCAAACTGAGGACCGGCTGCTAGTTTAACAGGCTAGCTAAACCAGCGTACAGGGGCTCTAAGGACAGGTACGGCTAACAGGTGAGTTCAGGTCTGGGTGAAAGTTCACACTTCTTTTAATATCTCATGTC